TGGCTCACAATTCTTGAGATGAGGATCGGAAGCGAGTGTTCGGAACCGCCTTTTATTGATAGACCCAAACCTAACGACTCGTTTCGGTGTATATTCACTAAACGTGAGCTCAGATTCGGCTATAAATTCAATCAAAAACAACATATTATGAGATCCGTCGGTAAAAATGATCAAATCGTTCGCTTATTTGTCTGTTTTTGCAATCAAATGAGAGTAAAGACCTGTTGAGAGTTGTGGTCATTGTTGTGGTCATCGGTTCCAATGGTGAGCAAATTGGGGTCATTGTTAACACACATCTCTTGTATTATGAGTTGCTTTCCGTTGACAATAATCCGCATCTTCTGATTGGATTCATTGACAGACAATAAACCAATTCTTGTCTCACTCTTGAGTTAGTTTTAAAGACAATAACAAATCAATTGATTGTGGGATGAAATCAATTGCAATCAATTGAGAGATGACTTACTTTAGCCATAATCGGTGAGCGATGTCTAAGTTGTGGACATTTGAGACACAATTGAGTGAATTGTCATTCAATTGAATTCAATAACAATTAATGCATTGATTAGTGGTTTCCTTATTATCATTATTTCAATGCATTATTGCTTTACATTTCACACAAAACTCTGAATACAACCCAAAAAAAACCCCAAAACATACAAAACATACAATCATTTGGGGTTTTGTTCACTCATTTGAGGCACTTTTTGGCACACGTTTTGTCGCAAATGTGTTGTGTTTTGTAAACACAAAACCAATTCAAATATTGTCTTCAATACATTGTCTTCAATTGTGAGACCAATTGGCATGACTTCTTCGGCTCCGGCCGTCGGACGCATCGCTTTCGTGGACACGGAGTTGAGTGCGAGTCCCGTCTGCAGACACGGACCCACTCTTCTCCTCCAAGACGTGGACACAAATGGCAGATATTATTGTTGCTCTTCGTGTCGGAAGCGAAAGGATTGCGATTTCCATATGACTGAAGAGGAATGGATTGTCACACAAAGCAAACCAAAACTGATGGCTAAATATAGGCGAAGAGTTAGCCATTTAATGGCCACAGAAAGTGAGAAATACTTTTACGACAAACGAGTGAAACAATTGGAAAGAATGGAGTTTTGCCGCAACTGTTCGCTCATAATCTCGACCACGGATTCGCTGAGTGATCACAAGACACACGAACTCATGTGCGGTATAAGTGGCAGACAATTGCGAAGACCGACAAAACTGATGAACAGTTTGACTGACAATAGATTTTGCGCTCAATATTTGTTTTCAAAGCAAACGATTCGGGTTTTAATGAATGAAATTTTAGTGAAAAACCAATTNTGATCACAAGACACACGAACTCATGTGCGGTATAAGTGGCAGACAATTGCGAAGACCGACAAAACTGATGAACAGTTTGACTGACAATAGATTTTGCGCTCAATATTTGTTTTCAAAGCAAACGATTCGGGTTTTAATGAATGAAATTTTAGTGAAAAACCAATTTTCGCGAGTCGTGTGTATCGGCTGTCCATCGCTTCACGAATACATCGATTGCCATAAAAATGCACTCAACATGAAAAGCCTTTTACTGGACATTGACTGCAGATATAAACAGTTTTATTCACCGAAAAAATATTTAAAATACAATTTATTTAATAATTATTTTTTCGGTGGCGTTAAAGACGAGAAAACTTTTAGACGATTTATCGCTAACTCTGTGAAAGAGCCGATAGTTGTGTTAATAGATCCGCCATTTGGTGGACTAATTGATCCGATGGCCAAAACCATAGACAAGATAAGCGAGATTTGGCGCAAATATCACCAAATAAGCGATGAGAGCATAAAGATTCCGGTTTTACTATTTTTCCCGTATTTTAATGAACATCGGATCAAAACAACAATACCTGTGCTCTCAATGTCTGACTTTATGGTCGATTATGAAAATCACCGCAAATTCAAAGCCACCGATTCTGGCCGTAAGTTTGGATCTCCGGTCAGAATATTTACGAATATTAAGTTGTCGTCAATTGTTTTGCCCGAAACCGATGGCTATTATTATTGCGATTATTGCGAGAAATATATCTCAGAAAATAATAAACATTGTTTTGAGTGCAATGACTGCACCGCTAGAGATGGCAAACCATATAATCATTGCTACCAATGCAAGAGATGTGTGAAGAATACATGGAATCACTGCAATCGATGCGGTTATTGTCATCTCATTCAACACTCGTGTACTAGACATCCATTTGAAGACAAATCAGAAATAATTGTTAACAAAAAGAGAAAACATTAAAATTATATTTGATTTAATTTAATGACAATTTTTTATTAATAACTTTCAGAGTATTTAAACGGAAATGAAGTTTATTTTAGTTTATTTTTGCATTAAATGTTATATAAACTTATATAAAAGAATTGAATCCAATTATTATGAAGTGTTGTATACTTTTGGTGCAAATTTATTGATTAGTTTCTGGTGTAACAGTCAATGAACTTCTGGATCGGGTATTGTATGGAAACATTTTAGTCAAGTATTGTTTGAATCCCAGAATCAAATACGAGATTAAATACTATAATCGGTTGAATGTCTTTGAATTGGTGTTCAGAATTAGATAAGAGAGATATTTATTTGAATTTTGGGCACATATTTATTGAAAGAGAGGAACGACTGAAACAAACGGTTCGTGTAATGCACTGTCGACTGAAGTCAAGTCGAGTCAAACACCAAAAGCTCAGACAATGAGTTAATTATTTGAATATAGCGTTCAATGAAAGTGTGAACGACTTGTTATCGATTCTATCAATCCTTTTGAGATGAAACACAAATCTTAAACCAAACACAAAACGAGAATCACATTTCAATAGGAGTTATATTTCATTATTTCACACAATTATTGCATAAAATGTTAATTTACTATTAAAATTAGCAAATATTCGGTGTTAAACTCATTCAATGAATTGTTCGTTCAATTGTTAACTCAAATCTTGTAGATTCTAAGGCAATGATAAGTAAAGTAAACATTTGAAACAAACTTTTGAACCATTTATTTACATGGTTTAATTGTTTTAATATCTTATAACATAAGATGTACAATATTTAGTTTATTTTATTTTTTATTGAAACAAGAAATGTTGTGAATGTTATTACTGTTAATGATATTTTTGAATGAAATGAATTAAACGTTTTCTAACTTCTAGTGTAATGACAGGCGAAAGAAAGTTAATTCCTAATATATAATGGAATTTTAATTATAGTATTGATTAACTATTAATATTTAAATGAATGCATACACACATCCCATTTAATTGCTTAAAAACACCAATATAATATGCCAATTCACTAATCAGGTATACTAATTAAGTCATATAATCTAAATTAATAGGATTAACTGTTTGAATTTATTTTGTACCTAGTAGTTTTATTCCATTTAACTTAATTTGGCGTTTTAAAATTATTTAAAACCATTAATGTTATTGTAGAATAATTTTTAAATTTGTTTTAATATAAAAGGAAATATTGTTTAAAAATGAATGTGTTTTGATGTAAACACGAATTTACAAATTCATAGCTGTATATCAATTACTTATGATTTGAGGATAGAATGCAAGAATTTACTATTAAATAGTAACTGTATTTCTCAATATAATTAAAGTGCGTTAATATTTAATGTGAAGTCTATATGATCTTTATTTAGCGATACTTAATGCAAACACAAATGATTTAAACAAAAAGAAGTTTATAAATAGAAAATAAAAGATTGAAAAATAAGTGCAAATCTAATGGAAAAAGAAGAGAATTCATTGAACTGAACGAGTGTTGTGTTGAATGTGCTGTACTTCTGAACCTCTAAATACATAGGAATTGAAAACATATTCATTCATAAGTGTGGACAACGTTTGCGCACAGCTTTTCCTCACAGACTCACAATACCATCGCTTGTCCTCCCATTACATCTCAAACGCATAGAGAATCTCATATCCAATAAATAGCGTCAAAAGCAAACATTTCTTATCATAAGATTGTGTCCAAAGAGGGGTTTGGTTTTAGAGATACGGTATTTATTGTTCAAAACGCTATGTTTTCGGTATATCTATTATTGGCGTTCAGTTTTTATATGGTATTTACAATTAGAACTAAAGTTGTATAACGTTTTCATCAATAATTCTGTCGCATCTCTTCGTCTCCACAGAGCGATAGGTTTTTCACGTTTTTCTAATCCATACATAAATGTGACTCCAGAGGAGGCGTCCAATCATTATTCGCTCTCTCCTTCTCACTCGTGGTCTCAATACTCTTCCCATTCATTGTATTTTATAATAAATTAATTTTTCCCATCATTTCACTGTTGAGCACATATTTATTGACAATTCTTACAATTCGTTTTACGGGTTTTTAACGAATATTCTTTTGTATAATATTTTATTTAAGTTTTATACTAATATATCATCCGTTTGACCATCAAGTGATCAAATCGTTGTGATTTGGATTTAAAGTAAGTGTTGAATAAATAATTAGTAATTCAAGAAATATATTTAAATTGTTGTTGTTTTGACATTATTTAAGAACCCATAACTTTCTAACATGTTTACAATAATTATTTTCATATTTTGTTTAATAAATAGTCGATTATATAATTAATATTCAATTAACACAAAAATTTAATTATTTTTTCTTATACAATGAAAAACACAATTTCCTGTTATGTTATGTTTTGTTCCAACAAAGCAAACAAAACACAATTTTTATTACATTTTTATAAACATTTGTTATATTCTTTAGAATATTTTTGTCTAAAGAATATTCTGTAGATATTTATAATAAATATACTGTATATGTAAATCATGCTTATCTGTAAAACACATTGCATTTATTGATAATTATTGAATATTGCAATTACTAAACATAAACTAAAATTCATATCACTTTAATTAATAGGTGTGAAGACATAAATTGTGAATTGAATTGAAAGCATTTCGTTGTGAATTAGAAATAGTAAAACACTGATTGAAGACAAGACTGAGTTGACAGCAATTAAAATGACAGCAATTCAAGTGAATGTTCGTCCAAAACGGGTCTCTCGAAAGTGTGCCAACAATTCGTCAAATATATCCGAAGAACAAATCGTGACCTCAACTGTAAGTCTGAACGAAGACGCGTTCATTACTTGCAATTCCAGCACTTCTTCAGCCGCTGTTCACAATCCGACCACAAGTACCAGAAAATCAAACAATGAAATCAAAAAAGCGCTACAATTGAAAGTTGAATCAAAAGGTTGGCATTTATTTTGTATTTTCAAATATGTTTTAATAGAGAATTTAATTATACTGTGGTTTATAATTAACAAAAATGTTAATAAATGACAGTTTATATTAATTTAAAGAATCATTAGATTTTGTCAATAAATCGATTGAAAGAATGAACAAAAATAGGAAAAACTAAATATAATAATTCAATTAAAAGCAAATTTTATTATTCGGTAAATATTTAATAAAAAATGGTGACATTTGTGACATCCTATTGAAGTTCTTATACTATTTCATAATAAATGGGATTTTGATTTATGATTAAGTTTTGTGTTAATCGATATCACATTTTCTCTTATATTTATACAGAGTATAGTTCTCTTTCCCATACAAAATCCTTACGCTATATATCAATATACTGTGTATACCGTATATTGCAGTTCATTGAACTCTTGGTGAATCTCTCCAATTCCTCACTCCTCTCTCTCTCTCTCTCTCTCTC